GGGTACAACAAGGACTGGTCGGCTCGGAGTCAGTATAATGTGTCTGAGTGGGGTATTCATGCTTCACTGCGGCATGGTATCTCAGTGGGCTAGCACTATAAAACCAGCTTCAGTCTGGGCTAGTACAAGCAGCCGCACATACACATACACACGCATGCACGTCGTCATATGAGCGAAATATTCTCAAGCACGACGTTAAACCCAATTCCACCACCACTCCATCATTCTGTCCAAATACGACACATGTGTAAAATGTACTTCTAATTTTCATCAATCAATTCCTTGCAAAATTCATGAGATACTTCCACAATTCCTCTACTGCTCACAGATAAACTGATTTGGTAGCGTTTACTGGCGATCATCGAGATGTTGCATTTCAATCTTTGGGCACAAATCTGCACGTAAGGGTTGATGATATTAATGTTGATCATATTTTGTCATTGAAGTCAATAGAGTGGAATAAGAGACGCAGAGCGTACATATTGCGTTTACCTTAACTGAAGTCGATGTGATAATATTTTAATGATAATATGATTAAAGTTGCATGAGTTGTGTTTGTGTAAGTATGACATGAATGTACTATCTGATATGCCCATGCGTCACACGTTTACTAAAGTTTGCCTCACTCGCCCAATTGTGAATATTTTCTGCGGGAAATACTAAATTACTATTAAGCCACAAAGTATGTAACTGTTTCAAACGCAAAGTCAACACAATTGTATTCCTTTTGCTCCTCCTTTCAAACACTCTTCTCCAATATCATGGATCCCTGGTGTATGTTCATAAAAATTATATATGTAATTATACAACTCGACATTACAGCGTGTCCTAACGTATATCGGCTATGCAATTAAAATGAACAATGATTATTGTAACTTTGCAGGATTTCTACATTGTAAACTGTTGTATAACATCCTTGCAAGGATTTCATATTGTCACATGCAATAATTTCATTTGTTTTGGACTGTGATGTACAACAAGCAGATGAGAAATAAAAATACTTAAAAAGAAAAAAATATGCCTCATCTCCATTGATGTTGTTCATGAAAACCAATCGACATTCATACTAAAAATATGAGGTGATGCTTTATAGTTGTTAAATGTCTATACGCTTGAGAGATGAATTTAATTTTTTAAATAAGATAAGTTAAACGATAACTTAGTCCATACCAGTCTTATTTATGGTCTATATACGTCCAAGTGCATCTGGCAACTTACTGATGTCCAGAAGTGGTGTAAACGGTATTCAGTCAGAATGTATTCACATGGCAAGAATAATCTACCAGCTCATTTTCTGGTATGGACATTACCTCTGACTTTTATTCATAATATTTTACGTTTGCAAACTAAGGGACCAAGACAGTTCGATTATGTTGCAATATTTCTAACAGCGACACGCACCGTTTTTTTAAATTTAATTCATCTGACCTTCATTGTCAAATTGCCAATTGTGAAATGGAACTGATTTGAATTGAGACCTTCAGTATGTCCCGTATTGTATGAAACGTAACTGACCATTGACTTACTATCTACAGACGTACACGTACAATCGATAATGAACACATCCTAAATCAAACAAGGGAGATAAGTTCGTAAAGGAATCGTTAGTAAGAAGGCCGGAATATCAGTATGAACGAAACGCTACTCTGTGAGAACTGTGCCATTGTCAGAATTAAGGTGACAAATGCGTTCTCTTATATATATGCCCGGCACGTTTGCAAACACACAGGGGCATTCGTACACTGCTTTAAATGTGTGTCGTCATGCAGTTCTTAACGAAGATTAATTTACAGCTTTTGTACACATCTTGTAGAAATATGCATTTTTTACCAACGAGTATGCTCTGAATCGATTCACTGTTACCTTTCATAGAAATAACACAATGTATGTACGACCTACAGTAAACTACGTTTATGACGAACACGCTTATTACGAACTGACATATAACAAACTATTTATAATCACTGTTGATAATGACCACTTGGCCACTGAAGCATAACATTGTGGATGAGGCTGGCAGGATTCGATCCTAAGGGTTAAATAGAGAATGCTTGGTGTTAGTCGGGACTTGCATCTCGGACAGTGGCTAGTTACGTTACCGCCTCGCCAGTGCTATAATACCATGTAGTTTCCATTTCGTATCACGAATAAAGGGTTGTGGTCTCACTGAAGGACTTATATATTTGCAGATACAGTTAACGCAACTAAACAGCCCTGTCTATATGTTTGAAACCCAGAAACACCAGTTTAATGCTGACAAACTTAGGATCATCTTCAGGAATAACGGATTAACAAGCTCTTGATGTATAGTCGTTGTACCTGCAATTTGTCAAGACTGTTTGTCCATGGTAATATGTGGATTGTACAGCGGTAAATTGAACCGATACGTTTTACACTTGACAAGCTATAAAACTCGCAAGACGGTGAAAACAGAACCAGGTTATGCGTTACACATATCCCCTCAATGGTCTAGGGGAGGTAATTCTGCAATAACGATAGAAGCATCATAAAATCCCACGTAGACCACCGTGTTAGTGGATTGGGTTTTGCTCTCGATACAAAGGAGCGTTGTTTGTCTTTTGCATGTTGGTTTAAGATTTAGATATTACAAAAAGTTTTGTTTGAACAACCGAAATCGTTTTATGTCTCATATATCCGAATACGTAGAGAGCTAGACATTACTGTTCCAGGTAATTAACATATGTTATTATGTGTACATATATCATAATTAGATGTTCGTGAACCTTTGTCAGTGACATAATCTGAGACATTTATATCAGATAACATGTACTCCGTTTAGGTATATATTTATAGCAAAACCGGTTAATACTCCGCATTCAAATGTTCTCTTTACTATATAGTTTAGGGATTTGGTTGTCAAAACAAGAGTAATGATTGCATCATCGCAACTGGTTGATCATCGGAATTGATCGGCGAGCGTCAATATCAAGCTTATTGAAAACGTTTCAAACTCAATAAGAACACACGGAACTACTACGTTTTAAAGAAGAACCCATTTTTACCTGTACCTCCGAGAAAAAATATAAAAATACTGTACAGAAAATATCAGTCAAGTTCATTACATACAGTGATTTAGATCAGATTGTTATCTTACACACCTCCATTTGTTTGTAAATATCGCCTAACACCTCTACTGACATGAGATAGCGATTCCTTCCTGACATTTAGTTAAGGACTGTTAGAGTGAGAATGGTTTTACGCCACTTTAACACAATATTCCAGCAATACCACGGCGAGGGACACCAGAAATGGGCTTCACAAATTGCACCCATGTGGGAAATCGAACCCAAATCTTCCGTGTGACGACCGAACGGTTAAACCACGAGGCTAACTACCGCCCCCTCAGTGTCATGAAAGTCTACTAAATTTGTACAGAAGCAAAGAAAAAAATTTCAACACTTTAACCAAGAAATTACACTTGTCATATAAAACATTTAATACCTCTCTTGAGATATCAAGCATATTATCCCATGTTTTTAGTCGATGAGTAAAAACTAACGTAGCGTATATATACACGCATCAATCCTATACACAACCTGTTACGTGCAGGAATATATTTCAGGGGGCACAATTTACATCGACACCGGTCGTTATTGCGTCAGGGTAAGTCGCGTTGTGGTTCGCGGATCAGATGTTCTCATTTTCATGTAGTTCTCATGTGTTTTGAGATATAATGCTCGAAGTATTGTTAATAAGTGTTCCAAGATTCGAATGATCTCTTTAAACTTTCAAAATAACCATTGATTATCTAATTGATAGGTTTGTTGTTTCCCGGAAATGTCCGTTCTGTCCTAGTTTCTGTTTGATAAAACCTCATAGCCATGCGTCGCCACGGAGGTGTGATATCTATTGTAATCTGTAGCCTATTTACACCAGCTATACACGGCTCGGTGGCCAAATTTGCTATAGCGATGCTATATGTTTATGCACATGAATGTGTAGCTGTACACAAAGCCTGAGTGAGTGAGTTAAAATGTGACGTGGCATCGGCAATGTTCCAGCCATATATCTAGACCATGTTTACAGTACACACAACAATGCATAGCTACACAAAGTTACATTCCAAAGAAAGATTTCATGTACATTTCTTAACATGAATATATTATCATTTTAACAATACTCTTTACAATACTGTAGACCATATTGCAGAAGTATTATCAATTTTATAATTTAAAAATGGACTGTAACATGAGCCAATGCTGTTGTTTGTGTGCAGAGCTGCACGTATATATCCCTGTGGGTTATGAGTAACATCTTTGCGAGCAAGTACTGTAATTCCGATAATGTATGCTAATATAACATTAATGAACAGGAAATACAACAAGGTTTATACGAAACACCCCTCACATTTCACTTCATGTAATACTGCGGATTACGATTCAAACACGGTGATGTTGAACTGTATTTCGTTCGATACTTCGTTCGCTTTCATATTGTATATTTATTTAAATGTGTGTGATGTTTATGGATAAAAACTGCACAATGTGCAGAATGCTGCAAACAATCAAAGCCACAAACAGTTATGATGTGCCTGTTCTTTCTATTAGTTTGAAAACACGAAAATCAGAATACTGACTCACTCTCACAAAGAACCACCCAGTTTAGAATTGGCCTTCAGCAACCCATGCTTGTCGTAAGAGGCGACTAACGGGATCGGGTGGTCGGGCTCGCTGACTTGGTTGACACATGTCATCGGTTCTCAAATGTTCAGATTGATGCTCATGCTGTTGATCACTGGATTGTCTGGTCAAGACTCGATTTATACAAACAACCGCGCGCCATGTCGCTGTGTGTTGCTTGAGTGCGGCGTTAATACAAAAATACATAAGTTTTTAGGAGTCGAGACGAATGGGATGTGTTCACATTCTAGAACTGTCCTTGTATACATGTATATGTGATAAAGTAACTCTGAAATCCGCCATTGGATCAACGTTGATCAACATATAACGTCACTGTTTAAAGTTCTGATTCTAATGCAGATGGCGGCGGCTGCAGTGAAACTGACTGATGAGTTCTTGCGATGCACCATTTGCACCGAGGTCCTACAGGAGCCATGCACACTTGTCTGTTATCACACATTCTGTCGGAAATGTGTCGTCAACTACACCAAAACCAAACCCGAAGCCATCAGTGCCAAGTCTCTTCTGTGTCCATTCTGCAGCAAGATGACGAAAGTTTCTGATCCTGACAGACCAGTGGAGGAATGGGCGGATGACGTCAAGCCAAGCTTTGTGATCCAGGGACTGTTGGACTCCTTTGGTCCGGGATCTAAAGGTATCGGTTCATCACAGACAAATAATGTCCTGTGCTACGAGACTACATAACTTATTTGAGAAATCAGAGAAGTCGAACAAAATATTAATGCAATGGAAACGGATATTACATTGGCAATTGCATACTTTTATAATTATTATCTACTCATCTTTCCGTAAAACCTGTTATCATCTTCATGCAATCTATAGTGTGTTATTGTGTATCCAGAATGGTACAATGGACCCTACTTTAGTATATTTTTTTAATTAGAGATTACTATTTTATTATTGATTTTTAATAAACCATTGGCCTGCTTGTCGCGAACGGCGTTAATACTGACTTTGCTTTTCATAGATCGTACGAAAAATGCCTAAAGGCTAATCGACGTCGGTCGGCTAAAACGGACATAATGAATGCATTTTCATTTTTTCATTTGCCATTCATTATTTACTGGCGGTCTTCAGGCAGATAAAATATTATCACACCAACATATTCCACCAAGAATAGTTCTCAGTACTTGTGATCAGGTAACGCTCACTTTCGTGTCTCAATTACGAAGATCGATTCTTCTAATGCGAACCTGTAAGCTGTCTGGTCCATACTCGGTTGTAGTGAGACAAGGTCTTTTTCCCTATTTTCAGACATGACGAACTGCCAGTATTGTAAAGAAATAGGGGAGGCAACTGCAGCTGTTTCCTGGTGCTCCGTTTGTGATGACGCAATCTGTGAAAATTGTGCAGCAATGCACAAACGAATTCCAGCAACACGGAACCATGAAGTTATCGTCTTTACAGGAGATACAAAAACCATGCAAAAGCGAAAGGTAATGTGTGAAGAGCACAAAAATGAATGTATTGAGTTTGTTTGTAAAGACTGCAAAAAGCTGATTTGTCAGAAGTGCTGCATAGTCTACCACAGGAAATGTTCATCTGTTGTCACAATTGAGTCAGAGCTTACCGAGATCAAGACAAAACTGATGACAAAAAGGAAATCGTTGCTTACAGACGAACAAACGAGGAAGGACCGAGTCAGCGAACAGAAACTAAGACTTACTGAGGTTAGTGAATCATCGTCAGAACTGGAGTCACTGATTCGGTCGTCCTGTGACATGGCCAGAGAAAAGATTAAACAGAAGGAGAACACACTCATAAACAAACTGAAAGAAGCTACAGAAATTCATCTTGGACAGCTAAAAGCTGACATCAAGGCGGGAGAAATGTCAATGCAGATGTGCCAACAGGAGGCCGAGCTTATAGACAAGGGTCTGGAGACTGAATGTCAGGTGGACATCTACCGAATGTGTCAATGGTTTGAGGAGGAACGTCTAGAGGAGGCAGTTCTCAATGAGACTGTGGACAAAATCATTTTTGAACAGGATATGGACAAGCTTGTCAACATCCTAGAAAACCTACCACTGGGAGACATTGAAGTTGTGTATAAGGGTAATGAGATGCTTGGTGATGGTGTGTTTGATGTGAAGGGAACGCCTGTCTTACATGATACAATAAACATTAGTTCACCATCTGATAAGGCCTCCCCCGCACCCTTGGATGTAATGGTGATGGTAGTCAACAATATACATACACTGGTGGTCTTAGATGACGGGGATAAAAATCTGAAGTCCTTCTACACTCGGAATAATAAAGCATGTCAAAGTAACATTGATGTTGGAAGTCGGCCATTCAATATAGCGAAATTTTCACACAATCAGGTGATTGTATCTGTTGTCAATGAACGAAAACTTGTAACAGTTGGCGTCACTCCAGACCTTGCGCATCTCTCAACGATCAACACAAGCAAAGATTATTATGGTTTGACTGCTCTGACATCGTCAACACTAGCTGCCGGGTCTCTGTTACCTCCGTGTGTGGATATAATTGATACGACGGGGAACGTTCTGAGGTCGTTAGTGCCGATGGTAAATGGGGTACCACTGGTCAACATACCCTGTTTCCTCTCTACGATGAAGACGGGAAACATCCTTGTGTCTGATGAAGGAACCAGGCGTATCCTGTGTTTGACACCAGAAGGAGATGTCCTGTTCAACCTCACCCATACAGGAAATGAAAGGATTCAATACCCTCTTGGTATCACAAACACGAGCTCTGGTGACATCTTGGTTGCAGAGTACTCAAGTCGCAGAATAATACATTTAACTGAATCGGGCGATTTTGTGAGAAACATACTGACATCAAAGGAGGGTATAAACTATCCACGTGGAATTTGTGTAGATACACGTGGTCGCCTCTACATATGTCATCGGACTGAAGGCACGATCAAGGTGTTCTCCAGTAAATCGTGACAATTACCATATCAAGAATCAGAAATATAATGTGTGTTTCTGTGATCACCAGGTTTATTCGGAAACAAAGTAGAGATAGAAATCAAACTTGAAGTAGATTAATTCTTTTATAACACTCGAGTTAAACTCCAGATGTAGATTTTAAACATTACTTGTAATTATGTCTTTCGTTATGTGGACATCTCGATTGTCAAATGGACTTCGGTGTCACTGCGAGAACCTTGGCAGAGTTTTACAGAAGACGGAATGATGACGGAATGTTTAGTCTGTGCTATACATTGAACAAACTAATCATCACGGGCTGCGAAAGAATACTACATAAAAACAAAATACAGAGCAGAAAAAAACAAGCTCAGTGAATATAATGTACTTTGAACTTTAACCTAACTGTCAATCATGGTACTTAACGTGTTCATGCCCCGAAAGGGTTTATAAAAGACACTTTGTTGTGTGTTCCGTTAGGATCAGCAGTGCATGTATCGTCGTGAACCCATTTAAGAGACAAGAACGGAGGTAAAACTGCCCAGTTGGCAGATTGGATGGGAAAATCAATGGAAGAGAAAGTTTACAAAGCAAATATTAATCAAACTCGCTCTACAAAGAATAAAATAATTTAGCAAATGTCACTTTCTAAATCTCAGAAAAGAAAACACAAACTGAATCAAATATTTGTCAAGAAATAAAGCAGTCGAACAACTTTTTTCAAAGCAATGTTCTTGGCACATCGGTTATGTCCGTTTTATAGAGCGGAATATGAAATTGTTGGTCATTTCTCGACATCAGACAATTTTGTTATTTTAATATTACATCATACATGGAGAAAGGCAGTATGAACGTTATGTTGTATACGACATATAATTATATGTATGTGTTCCTGGTAAGACGGTAGATGTCTTGGAGACGGTTATAGCGTACTATAGCTACGTTCATCCAACAATATCTGATGTAGATGCTGGTAGCATTTCCTGTGGATTACTGTATGACGTCTTGTAGGAACAATACCAAAATAAAACAAAGGCATATTTTATTATTTATTTGTTTGTTTGTTTGTTGTAAACGCCAGACTCAGCAATGGTCAAGCTATATGGCAGTGGTCTGCCAAATCTTTTCTTACTGAGTACTGTTTCTGAAATTAAAACGATCAACAAATGACAGCAATGCAGTACGTAACAACGAGGAGTGAGGAGTTTATCATATAGAACAAGAACGTCATTAATCTTGCTTTAAACGTCATGGACTTCTGTATCCTGAAAAAGAACACCTGTCGCATTCTAAATGGAAAATCTAAACACGTACCACACAGTTAGACACTGATAGTGAAGCTCACAGTTCGTTAAAGAGTGCGTGAGTTACAATCTATATTCACATCGGGAATATTTTGCCCATTTAGTGATGAAGCAGGTCATACATTAAGAATAAATCAACTTATATTGTCAAATCCATCAACCAAGGACAACACAACAACTAGATTATCACAGATAAAACTAGCATGCAATTATATAAGTTATATTTCTATTCACATCATTACAATATAGAAACGGGCTGTACACCTGCAACTGAATGCAGGTACCATGGGGACTTACAGAAAACTCACAGTTAAGTGTTGGCTGCTGTTGCTATGTCACGATCATAAATACAGGCCCATGTACTTCCAAATGGCACCACATTGTCTAGTCCGGTAACCTCGATAAGTCGCCTTGAATCGCGGATGAATGCAAGGCAGGTGAAATTGACTCTGGTCGCCTTAAACACAACCCATCTGATGTGTATAAATCAGTTGATTAAATGCGTTTCTCATCCATGGAATAACGAACCCATAGAATACATGATAAGAGTGATTAAGCCCAATATTAAAACTATTAAAATATTAAATGTTTTTGAAAAAATGTTTACTAATGTTATCTATCCTCGACTCAGCTCCTGATTTCTTATCACTGTCATACAATATTCAGATTCTCTCTCTAATGAACTACATTAAGAACCAATCAAAACACTGAAGCTGAAGTCAGCTTGAATCAACATTGGAAGTTCAGTGAACCCACATGAGTCAAGTGTATCATAACAAAATGGGCATGATCGTGAGGGTCATTTTATCATTTTATGATACGGGTGAATATTTTATTTTGGAAGAACACAAATGGATAGATTTTGAGGTTCAGCCTTTGATTTTCAGGATTGTCCAATCCGGTAGATAAGATAAAAAACCCAATTAATTTCGAACTAGTGAATGTCAAGGTGTCTTAAAAAACCACAATCTTATTCTATTGCTAATGTACAAATATTTGCATATATTCTCGAATATATTAGCTGTAATTCATACTCGCCGCCCGATATTTCTCAAATGTATTCGCTGAGAATTACTTCATTCACCAGAAGTGAATTTTGAGATTGACATCCAAACAAGTACACATAATCAGAGCGTACTCCATCATGCTGTCCAAATACGACACACGTGTACAACGTACTCCATTTCTTTGCAAACTTCATGAGTTACTTTAACATTCCCTCAAGTGCTGCTAGATAAACTGATTTAATGGCATTTACTGGCGATCATCCACTTTGACGACAATGAAAATATTTGTCATAAAAAATGAGAGCTGTGGGTTAACTTCAAACCAATCTCAAAATGCATAATTGTTGGTTTTCTGACATCTTGTCTCCACAGCCTTCCTGCGTAAACATTTGTTCCTGATGCTTTCATTTCTAATGCTTGATACATAAAATCAATGTGGGGTGTACTCAAATGATATTTTTGATATTTAATGTATGAGATATATTACATGGATTCCCCTGTGAGCTGCAGTGACCTGAAGTTTAATGTATCTGTTAGAAAACAAATTGTAGAGAAAATGTCATTTTGTTTATGCCACTTTCAACTGTTTCAAGTCTCATCCCAAGATTTTCTTCATTTCTTGTGACAGTTTGTAAAAATATTTTGTATATAAATCATAAATCACCGATTCAATTAAAAACAATATAATAAAATAAAAGTTCAGTCTTGAGGGACATATATGCACGTAAGCAGTGATGATATTAATGTTGATCATATTTTGTCATTGTAAATAGAGTGGAATAAGAGACGCAGAGCGTACATGTTCCGTTTACCTTAATTGAAGTCGATGTGAAAATATTTTAATCATAATCATCATGATTAAATTTGCATGAGTTGTGTTTATGTAAATATGACATGAATGTACTATATGAAATGCCCATGCGTTACGCGTTTACCTAAATTTATTCTGACTCATCTCTGTTGATGTTGTATATATCAGCGACACGCGCCGTTTCTTAGATTTGATTTATCTGAACTTCATTTACAAACTGTCTATTGTGAAGAGCAACTGATTTCAAGTAAGACCATCAGTATTTCCGTGTGAAACGTAACTATAATCGATATTGAACACAGAATCCTGAATCAAAGAGGGGGAATAAGTCCGTAGAGAAACCGTTAGTTTTGAAGGATGGCTTGCCAGTATAAACGCAATACTGCCCCGTTAAAATAGTGCCATTGTCAGCATTAAGGTGACAACTGCGTTCCCTCATTTCTTCTCAGCACGTTTTCAAACACACAAGAGCATTCATACACTTTAAACGTGAGTGAGAGAGTTTGGTTTTACGCCAGTTTTAGCATTATTCCAGCAATATCACGGCGGGGAATACCGGAACTGGGCTTCACACATTGTACCCATGTCCAGAATCGAACCCGGATCTTCGGCTAGACGAGCGAACGCTTTAACCACTAGGCTACCCCACAGCCCACTGCTTTAAATGTGTGTCGCTATGCAGTTCTCAGCAAAGATTAATCTACAGCTGTTGTACACATGTTGTAGAAATATGCTTTTGTTACCAACGAATATACTAGTTATCGACTCGCTCTTACCTTTTCTGGACCTACATTTGACCCGTGAAGATCCGGGTTAGAATATTGATCTTCGGTAACCCATGATTGTCGTATGAGGCGACTAACGGGATCGGGTGGTCAGGCTCGCTGACTTGGCTACACATGTCATCGCTTCCCAATTGCGCAAATCGATGCTCATGCTGTTGATCACTTGATTGTCTGGTCCAGACTCGATTATTTACAGACCGCATAGCTGTAATATTGCTGAGTGCGGCGTAAAACTCACTCACTGGACCTACATTTACGACCTACAGTAAACCACGTTTATGACGAATTGACATATAACGAACTATGTATAATCACAGTTCGACAATGGCCAGTTGACTTCTAAAGCATGGCGTGGATGAGGTTGGGGACACTGCAGGCTGGCAGGATTCGACAATGAGGGATAAATACATAATGCTTTGTGTTAGTCGGGACTTATCTCGGACAGTGGCTAGTACCGCCTCGCCACCGCTATAAAAGCATTTAAATTATTTCGAATCACGAATAAAGCGTTGTGGTCTCACTGAAGGAATTATATATTTGCAGATACAGTGATCGCAACTAAACAGCCCTGTATATATGTTTGAAACCCACACACGCTAGTTTAAATCGAACTTAGGACCATCTTCAGGAAGTACGGATTATCCAGCTTAGATGTATAGTCGTTGTATCTGCAATTTGTCAAGACTGTTTGTCCATGGTTAACATGTGGATTGTAGAGCGGTAAATTGAACCGATTAGTTTTACACCCGACATGTTATAGAACTCGCAAGACGGGGAAATAGAACCAGGTGAAGCTTGACACAAATCCCCTCAATGGTCTAGGGGAGGTAATTCTGCAATAACGATATAGAAGCGTCATAAAATCCCACGCAGAATACCGTGTCAGTGGGTATGATTTTGCTCTCGATACAAAGGAGCGTTGTTCGTCTTTTGCATGTTGGTTTAAGATTTAGATATTACCGAAAGTTTGGGTTGAAGAGCGGACCTTTTCATGTAATATATATGCGGATACGTAGGGAGCTGGAAATAACTGTTCCAGGTTATTAAGATAATATGTTATTATATGTGAATAAATCAAAATTAGATGATCGTGAACGTAAAAGTCAGTAACAGAATGGATAACAACTTCTTTGTTTATTTTTCACAACGTTTCTAACCTAATCAGAACCTCAGAATTCCGTGAGATGTTTAGAGTAAGGTGTACATTTATTCATTATTCAAAACAGCAAATCTTTTTGAAATAACAATGGTTTAATCAATCTTCCCATAGCCACATTGTACAGTGTAAAATTGCAAAACAACTTCAATACAAGAATGTAAAGCTAGGTTTTACAAGAAGCTTTAAGAATGCTTTCTTCAAAGTCACCAGGAGTTCCCATAATGGGTTTCTTATAATACTTTCTAAAAGTACAGTCACTTTGCCAGCCGGCTGTGGTGAGTATTGTTCTGAGCGGTACTTCTGCCGCTGCGGCTGCGCTAGTAGAAGCTGAACTGATACTGTGCGGCTTGAACACAGCAGTATCCACACCTGTTTGAGTTAAAGTTGTCTTAACCAAACGAGCTATTGTGTCCTTACTCACACGTTTCTGAGGGTTTTGGGTGGAAATGAACAAGGCTGTTTCATCTCCTCTTAAATCAAAAGTTCTTTCCAGATATTGTTGTATGGAATGAACAACACACAGTCTCTTGTCTGGATAAGATGTCAAAGTTATCTCCCCTAAGTGATAACCTGGTCTATTCTGTTTTAAGAGGTCTCCAAATCTAATAACTATCTCACTGTCTTTCACTTCAACATTTCTACAATCTAACAAATGAACTGACTGCAGTCTTTGTCCTGATAATAACAAAATCAATGTAACACATTTTCTACTCAAACACAAAAGATCTTCTAAAGTAGACTCGCTAAAGGTCCCTAAGGTAAGCTAAGACTAATGAGACATCCCATGTTGCCGAGTATCTTGGTACAGCAGGTCTCATATGGAACACTCCCTTCATGAATCGCTTAACCATTGGGAGCTGTCCAAGGGGAGTGCCATTTATACCTCTGGGACCAACTGGCTTTGGCAGTTGCCCTGCAAGAGGAATGGCGCCGAAACCCTAATGATGACGTCAGAAGGCTCACATACTCAGTTCGACGCCGC